GCCGCCGGTCCTGCCCGAGCTGCTCCTGATACACTGAGAAAGGCAAGGACTTGGCTGCTTGGCCAGCTGCACTTCTCTAACTCAGCCTCTGTTCTAATTCAGGCTTGTTTCCCCGACCTGGGTCTGAAGAGGAGTGTGTGTAGGAGGCGCGGGGGGGGGGGCATTTCTCTCTCCCTCCCTCCCTCCCTTTCTTTTTCTGACAGTGTCCTGTAGTACAAGCTTGCCCCAAACGCTGAGGTGACAACATGAGGTTGAACTTCTGAACCTACTGATATCACCTCACAAATGCTGGGAAAAATACACATCTCAAGTTTATAAGATGCTGGGGATGGAACTCAGGACTTCATGAATGCTACAAAAGCCCTTGACCAACTGAGCTACATTCCTGATCTCCAAGTTTCTTGCTTTTATTTAATTCCTACAGAACCAAGCCCTTTCCCTAATTCAGGACTTACACCTTTCCACTTTTCTATTTCTTCTTGCCATAGAAATTTTTACACAACTCCAGTAATGTTAAGTATGTAACAGATATACAAGGCATATTTATTGATATGTACATTAGTTTTACTATTACCACCTGTTAGGAATAATGAATAATGGGTTGGGACCTTGAGTGGCAGGTGAACCTGGCCCCACTCTAGGCCCATGATCTTTCTAGTCTTGACTCCTAATGACATATTGCTCAGCCCACATCTGAAAAGCAGCTTGTCATAGCAAATGGGAATTAACAGAGACACACAGTTAGATAGTGTGGAGGTGGGGAGAGGGAGGGAGGGAGGGAGAAAGAGAGAGAGAAAGAGAGATCGATCTTCTTCAAACCCATCCCCTCAAAGGCTCAGGGATCCATGTTGAAGAGGAAGCAGAAGACTGTAAGAGCTACAGGTGGTGGGAGACTCCAAAGAAACTGTCTTTCAGACACAACAGGACTGACACACATATGAACTCACAGACTGTGACAGCAGGCACAGGGCCTGCACTGGTTCACACCAGACAAAAATTCCAGCATAGTGAAGTAGAGTTGGATACAAAGCTTCATCCCTAACCAAGAAGCTATTTGTGAATGAGTCTCACTGGGTATAGGAACCACACCTCAGGGCAGGCCCAGTGCCCAGGAGTAGTTGACTAAACAAAATGAACTCCATGTTTTGGTTTTTTTTTTTTCCACTTTTTGTTTCAGCATATTTTTTGTATTGGTCTTTTGCTTGTTTAATTTTTGTTTTTGTGGGCCTTTTTTTTTTTTTTTTTTAGAGAGAAAGAACAAAATTGAGTGTGGAGGGAAGTGCAGAGATCTGGGAGGAGTTGTGGGAGGGGAAGGAACATGATCAAAATAGATTGTAAAAATTATTTTAAAAAGTCAGAAATGGTTTGCTTGCTCGTTCTGCTGTTGAGAAGTGGTGGAACCTTTAGGAAGAGGAGACGGATGGAAGCTAACCATTGAGACTCCAGTCCCCATCCCTTTCCTGGTCAGCAGGACTTCTAAGCAGCTTTGTCTTCCCCCTCACTCCTTACCATGTGTTCTGCTACTCTACAGACCACAGCAATGGAACCTGTTAAAGACTGAAAATCGGGGCTGGAGAGATGGCTCAGTGGTTAAGAGCACTGACTGTTCTTCCAGAAGACCCGGGTTCAATGATCAGCACCTAAATAGTAGCTCAAGGGACCCAACACTCATAGCAAGACACAATGCTCATAAAAATAAGTACATTTTAAAAAGACTGAAAACAGGCCGGGCGTTGGTGGTGCACGCCTTTAATCCCAGCACTCGGGAGGCAGAGGCAGGCAGATCTCTGTGAGTTCGAGGCCAGCCTGGTCTCCATAGTGAGTGCCAGGATAGGCTCCAAAGCTACACAGAGAAACCCAGTCTCAAAAAAAAAAAAAAGACTGAAAACCCTGGAGCTGTGAACCCAAAAAAAACCTTTCTGCTTATAAATAGTCCAAAGTAAATCTTTATTACTCATAAGATTATCACAGATGACAATAACAGCTTAAAACACCCCACAAACTGGCTAAGCACATAAACACACCTGAAACACATGCTTGAATACGTGCAAAGGTTTCAGAGATTCAAAAGCCTTTCACCCACACAGAGACCTTGAGTTGGAATAACATTTCAACCAGTTAGAAATGGAAACGATCTACTGAATCAATCAGATTACTTAACTCAGTTGGGAAGGAGCCAGCTGGATAAGCACTGCCTTGTGAATGCCATCTGAAGAGCTGGACACCACAGCATTTTTTTCCTTTGACAAACAGTGGGGTCAGGGAAAGGCAACTGATTTTCTGAGTTGGAGGTACTAGGTTGCAAGCTTGACCACACTATTTAATTGGCTGTGGGGATGCCTAAGAGCTTATATCTGCAAATTTGTACCGATTGGGGGGAAAAAAGATAAGATCGTGGCTAGTTGAGTGCATGTCACAACCTATGATCCCAGCACTGGGGGAGGATGATCAGGAGTTCCTGGCAGCCTGAGCCACATACGGACCTTCCTCCCAACCCCCAAAATGTAAAGAAGGAAAGCTGGTTGCATTAACTGACTACTGTGTGATGAAAGAAATGGTGATAAATATATTTATAGTGCATATGGTTGACAAGGGATTACTATGTACACTATATAAAGCACTCATTCTACAGCTGTCATTTGTGAACAAGTGTGCAGGGTATTCAATGGAGCAGTGGTTATTGTAGCAAAAGTTTGGAAACAATCCCAAGTGACTGGTCAATTAAACTATGGTTATTTAGGTAGTAAAATTCCATGTAGCTGAAAAAGAGACCCAAGATCCCATCTTTGTTCCCAACTGGTCAGATCTTAAGGAGGATGTACTATTAGGAAGAAAAATGAAAAAAGAGAAAATAAATACAAGCTGTTACATTTTGTGTACTTTCTAGTGTAGATGGAAAATTACAATTTTTGTAATAAAATTAAGATGAAGTTAACATTGTTAGGAGTTACTGATTTTCTTTGCTCCACAGAGTCAGAGTCACTTAGTGATGTCTACTGAGTGATAAGGCCCAGCTTTGATGACCAAATGATGTTAGGAGGTAGGTAAAGCATTATTTTCCATAAGGCTTCAAGTTGCTCATGGATAGCAAGACCTGGGGGCTTAGGATTTCTATTACTGTGAAGTGACACCATGACCACTGCAACTCTCTCTCTCTCTCTCTCTCTCTCTCTCTCTCTCTCTCTCTCTCTCTCTCTCTTTTTTTTTTTTTT